CCGCCCTGAGTCCCTCCCGGAGAAGGGCGGCATACAAATAAACTAAATCTTAAATCTTAAGAACTTCAGATGGGTATTGAAAGTATGAAGCCATAAATGAGAAACAATCTGTTGCTTTCCAGATGTTTTGGATGGCAAATATTAGCAGCAATAAAGAAAGCTGCAGTTAAAATATCAGGAGGGTATCATTAATTGTTGCATTTCTTGTGCCATAGATAATATATAACCCTATGGAGCAGAGGTGTCAAACTCGATTTCATTGAGGGCCATGTTAGTGTTACAGTTGACTTTGGGGGGCCAGGGTAGGCGTGGCCAGTTTGACGACACTCGTGCCGAGGGCACCTGTGGTGGCTTGAGCACTCTGCTAGCGAAAGCAGGTTCCTGAGCTCCAATTTCAGCTGTGACAGTCTCCTGCAGCCCTCTGCCAGCAAAAATGGAGCTTGGGAGGACCGCGGGCAACCCTCCTAAGCTCCGTTTTTGCTGGCAGAGGCACCGCAGGTCGGTCCTTTGCTGTTTCCAGGTGGTCCCGTGGGCCAGATCTCAGCACCCCGTGGGCCGGATCTGGCCCCAAGGCCTTGCGTTTGACACCCCTGCTATAGAATGATGGGTTGATTTTAAGCTATGTATTATGGCTGAAAATGCTTATTATTTTGCATCCGATTCATTCTGTCCCTCCTTCTGTTTACAGCGAGAGTTGGGGGGACCTCTTATATGCAAGATTGATGGACGTTATAAGCTTGTTGGTCTTGAGAGCTGGACTAGTGCCCATTGTGAACCAGAGTCTCCAACAGTCTACACGCAAATCTCTTTTTACAGAAATTGGATTTCAGCAGTGATTTAAGGACAATTGTGAAAAATGAACTTAAAAAAGCACAACTGTAATAGAAGTTGTGCTTCAGAAGGACTAATTTGTCAAGTGTTGCCAAATCTTCATGTATTTTCTCAGAATCAGTTCTGGAGAAACTAATGCCATCTTGCTATTAATTGAAAGCATGATGCCCAAGTCTGCATATCTTTAAGTAGAAAAACTCATATGGTTTCTGAATGTCTGGATACGTCTCCTTCTAATATGTTTCCTAATAATTGTGTATTAAGAATATTCTAATACTGCAACCTTCCCAGGAGGCTTCCAGCAAATAAAGTCAATAGGAAAAGATGGATTCACGTAACAAACACATGATTTACTTAATGACTGCTGTGATTTATTTAATGTCCGTGGCATGAAAGGTCATAAAATCGAGGCTGACTGGCTTAATGACAGCCTTGCTTAGCAACGTATGTTCCTGTCCCAATTGTGGTCATAAGTCGATGACTATCTATAATACTTGGGAGATAACCTCTTTGGGGGAGGGGGGCAGAATTTGTGAATTAACTCCGCTCAATTCTCCAAAACATTTCTTTAATGTCCAATCTCAAACTGAAATTAAGAATAAATAATCTGTGTCCTCCATTCAGGAATCTGAGAGGGCTTTCAGTTAAAGGAAGGCCCACTCAACAATGAGATTCTTCACTTTAACAGAGATTAAAGTAGGGTCTGGAAGCGCCCTCTAAGTGCGGGTTCAAATAATTCCAAGTCCCTCGGTCCTTCAAATCTGCAGAGGAAAACCTTTCTGCTTTGATCCCATCCTCTCAAAGGGATAAGGAACGCCTTAGAAAGAATTCAGGAATGGAATCAGGTAAACCACAAGCAAGGATACGGAAAGGTCTCGTGTAATGGTGCTGTAAGACACTCGCCCATTAAGCATCCTGTCTACTGTACAAAAGAGGCGAACGGCCTATGGGACGATATCATCTTTGAAGTTGCTTCGCGGCTACTAAGGAAGCCACAGACTTTTGTTTGACATTCTTCAGTGCAGCGAGCAGTTGCAGAGAGGTGGACTGCAACACCTCTTTCTTTACGGCATTCCCTTTAGCCATCAACTCCCGCATTTTCTGCAGCAGCTGTTGCACTCTTTTATCCTTTAGCTGCGTCAAGAAGTTCTCCAATTTTGCAGCAGTTGGAGCATTCATTGCCAAGGAGTTCTCCAATCTTGCAGTGGTTGATGATTTCATTGGCAAGAACGTCTCCCGTTTTGCAGTCGTTGGGGAGTTCATCGGGGGCTTAGGCATCTTTTGCCAAATATTTGCAGGCCCTCCTTCGAATGGAAGCAGAGAAGAGAGGGCGATGGTCTGAGGTTTGGACTTCCTAGGACCAAAGCCAGAAGGAAGGAGAAGAAGCTGCACGACAGAGGTAGGCTGCAAGGGATACTGCCCAAGAAGAGCAGAGATTGGGACAATAGGCCATCCAGCAATTCTGGCAGGAGGCGAGACATGAGCAGAACTTTTACGGATGGGGTGCTTGGTCGATAGCACAGACGTTGTGGAAGCAGTAGAAGATGAGGAAGGAGGGGAAGAAGAACAGGAAGTTGTAGGTGTGGCAGTGACAGTGACAACAGCACTAGGAGATGCTGAAGTTGGGCTACTGGCTGGGGCAACAGTAGTGGCAGGATTTGTGGGAAGAGAACCCACTGATGGTGTAGAGGATTCAGTGGCAGTGACAGTGACAACGGGACTAGGAGATGCTGAAGTTGGGCTACTGGCTATATCAATAGTAATGGCAGGATTTGTGGAAACAGAACCCAGTGATGGTGTATCGGTTTCAGTGGCAGTGACAGTGACAACGGGACTAGGAGATGCTGAAGTTGGGCTACTGGCTATATCAATAGTAATGGCAGGGTTTGTGGAAACAGAACCCAGTGATGGTGTAGAGGATTCAGTGGCAGTGACAGTGATGGGACTAGGAGATGCTGAAGTTGGGCTACTGACTGTAGTAACAGTAGTGGCAGGATTTGTGGAAACAGAACTCAGTGATGGTGTATTGGTTTCAGTGGCAGTGACAGTGACAACCGGACTAGGAGATGGTGAAGTTGGGCTACTGGCTATAGCAACAGTAGTGGCAGGATTTGTGGGAAGAGAACCCACTGATGGTGTAGAGGATTCAGTGACAGTGACAACGGGACTAGGAGATGGTGAAGTTGGGCTACTGGCTATAGCAACAGTAGTGGCAGGATTTGTGGGAAGAGAACCCACTGATGGTGTAGAGGATTCAGTGACAGTGACAACGGGACTAGGAGATGGTGAAGTTGGGCTACTGGCTATAGCAACAGTAGTGGCAGGATTTGTGGGAAGAGAACCCACTGATGGTGTAGAGGATTCAGTGACAGTGACAACAGGACTAGGAGATGCTGAAGTTGGGCTACTGACTGTAGCGACAGTAGTGGCAGGATTTGTGGAAACAGAACCCACTGATGGTGTGGTGGCTTGAGGGGTGGTAGGCTTAGAGGAGGATCCAGTGACAACAGATACAGAAGTAACTGGGGTAGCTGTCATAGCGTTGGAAGTGGAAGGAAGCTTAGGAACAGGAGTCAGAGAAGGCACATCAAGCATAAGGTGCTGGGAGAAAGACCCCTCTGACAGGTTAGGTTTGGTGGTAAACAATTCAGGAAAACTTTGCCCGGCTATCACTGCATCAAGTCCAGTGAGAAGCTCAAGCAAGGATTCTGAGTCAGTTGTGACAGGAGTAGAAGTGGTGGGCAGTTCAAGCAAAGGCTTCGTGGAAGTAATATCAGAAGCAATACTGGGATGTTTAGGAATGATTCCAATGGTAGGGTCGGAAACAGTTGTGATGGTTTCTGTTGCTGCTGTGGGAGTATTGGATACAGGGGTGAGAGGCACAGGAGATGTCGTGGTGGTATGGAGAGTGGTAGGGAGAATGCTGATAAGTGGCTTCTCTTGTAGGGTAGATGATGATTCAGTATTTTCAAGTTCTTGATAGGTGTTTTGTGTTATTGAAGATGTTTCACTGATCTCATCTGGACACTGAATCCGCTACAACAGGAGAAATAATGCAAAGCAGAAGTCACACCTTTGGGTTGCTATGATTTTTCTAAGCTATCATTTCTTTCATTTTCTTCTGCATGAGAGAAGACTGTGCTCTGACATCTCTAGAGGGTTTCTAAAGTGCTTTGTCCAGAAATGTCAAGTATTTCTGATTGTGCTCTTCCTTCACTCCCAGGTTGTAAAGCATTTTCCTTTCTCCACTCATGAAGCAAACTATTAACTGATTCAGATCCCCACCTGTTTCCTATAACAGGATCTAGTGCTGGAGGATACTTTCCTGACTGAACTATACAGCTGTTCTAACCTAAGCTGCCCAAGAGTATGAAGCAAACTCCTTGTCCCGACAAAAACCTCTTTTATTAATTTACTGTGAATTCTTCTCATTCATATCCAACAAAGTCTTTCAAGGGAGGGTTTACAGTCACGGATCTTATCTGGCTTGGAGAGCTGCCAGGCTGATATTTGCAAAACTTGGCAAGGAGCTTCGGAAAGTCACAAACCAATTAAGCAAGCTAATTGTCTCCTGCAAACTCCCCTTTCGCTCCTCTT